ATGCAGATTGGGATTATGATAGTCAGTCCGAAAGAAGTGGACATACTGGATGGAGTTGTGCCTGTTGGAGTACAACTCCTACCTGGGGATGGCCCCAAGAATGCAAGGGAACCCAATTGAGGGCAGAGATTAAAAAGGGAATAACTTCTCCCAATTGCGCAGCCCATTCTTGTAATCCTGTCAATCTAACTATCTAGAATCCAGGACAATGGAGACAAAAGGAGGTAAAAATTGGACTATCAATTTATGGAACTGGAGAAGATCCAGGGGTGATTTTACAAGTAATAATTAAAGAAAAATCTAGAGAATCAGTACAACACCACTTATTATTCAATTCCTTCTATCATGAAATGGAAACGGGAGTCCAATATGAAATTCCCACAGTTGCTAAAAATCTCTTTGTAAATCTTGCTGAAAATATAGCTAAAGCATTGAATGTAACTAACTGCTATGTTTGTGGGGGAACTAACCAAGGGGAGAGATGGCCCTGGGAGGCAATGGAGAGTAATATAAGCAACCCTGCAATCTGGAAAAATCGAAAAGGGAAAAATAGGAGACAACAATGGATCTTGCAAATGAATATAATTGGGAAAAGTTGTTGGCAGAATTTAGAAAATGGTGGAAAACCAGTAGGAAATTTACTTTGTGAAGGGGGTTATATATGGAACAGAACAAAGAAAGACTGGGAAAAATGGGGAAATCCTATAGAAATAAATCAGTGATTCAGTAACTGGACTAACGGAATTAACATACCAAACGTCTGGCCCACTCCAGATGAACATTATTGGATCTGTGGTAAAATAGCCTTTGCATTTTTACCTCAAAATTGGACAGGATCATGTATATTAGGAACCATCAGACCCAGTTTCTTTTTATTACCTATAAACCGAGGGGAATGCTTGGGAGTCCAGTTATAGACAGAAACAGGTGAACTAAGGAGAAAATGATATAGAAGAGAATTACAAATTGGTAACTGGAAGGACAATGAGTGGCCACCTGAATTAATAATTTCTCATTATGATCTGGCAACTTGGGCTGAAGACGGGTCCTGGGGATACAGGACTCCTATATATATGCTGAATTGGATTATAAGATTACAAGCTGTAGTAGAAATAGTAGTAAATAAAACAGGAGATGCATTAGGATTAGTTGCAAAGCAAAATACTAAAATGAGAACTGCAATATACCAGAATCTTTTGGCTTTGGATTATTTGCTAGCTCAAAAAGGAGGGGTCTATGGAAAATTCAATCTCAGTAATTGCTGTTTAGAAATAGATGATGAGGGAAAAGCCATAAGTGAGCTTGTGAGAGAAATGAAAAAGATAGCCCATGTTCCAGTACCAACCTGGAATGGAATCAATTTAGGAGGATTAGGATCTTGGGGACAATTTTTAAATGGGGACTGGATCACTAAAATCGGTATACTGATATTGGGAATATTTGGAGGACTATTAATTATTCCATGTATAATCCCATGTTTCACCAGATCGATACATACAGTTGTACAAAACATGCAATTAACCATCATGCCACACTGGGCTATACAAGACTGTATTGCACCATACTGGGCTGCACAAGTCTGTACTTAGCCATATGGAGCCATACAGGGCTGTACTGGGCCATACTGGGCTGTATCTAGCCATATGGGACCATCTAAGTGTGATAAACACATAAATATATTAGGTTTTGCAAATCATAGGTGTGGCTATGTGGATATAACTGTATGAGTTTACAGTAACAGAAACAAAGCTCGCTAAAGACACAAGATTAGACAACAAAAAGGACCAGAACTCTTGAGCAAAATGGAGTCACATAGCAAAAGAATTTGTAAAGGTAAAAGAAAAGGGGGGGGGCTTAGAATCATAGAATAATTAGGGTTGGGAAGGACCTTAAGATCATCTAGTTCCAAACCCCCTGCCATGGGCAGGGACACCTCACACTAAACCACCTCACCCAAGGCTTCGTCCAACCTGGCCTTGAACACTGCCAGGGATGGCACACTCACAACCTCCCTGGGCAACCCATTCCAGTGCCTCACCACCCTAACAGGAAAGAATTTCTTCCTTATATCCAATCTAAACTTCCCCTGTTTAAGTTTTAACCTGTTACCCCTTGTCCTGTCACTGCAGTCCCTACTGAAGAGCCCCTCCCCAGCATCCCTATAGGCCCCATTCAGATACTGGAAGGCTGCTGTGAGGTCTCCACACAGCCTTCTCTTCTCCAGGCTGAACAGCCCCAACTTTCTCAGCCATATCTTCATATGGGAGGTGCTCCAGTCCCCTGATCATCCTCGTGGCCCTCCTCTGGACTTGTTCCAACAGTTCCATGTCCTTTTTATGTTGAGGACACCAGAACTGCACACAATACTCCAGGTGAGGTCTCACGAGAGCAGAGTAGAGGGGCAGGATCACCTCTTTCGACCTGCTGGTCACACTCCTTTTGATGCAGCTCAGGATACGGTTGGCTTTCTGGGCTGCACGCACACACTGCCTGATCATGTTCATTTTCTCATCAACCAACACCCCCACGTCATTCTCCGCAGGGCTGTTCTGAATCTCTTCTCTGCCCAACCTGTAGCTGTGCTTGGGATGGCTCCGACCCAGGTGTAGGACCTTGCACTTGGCATGGTTAAACTTCATGAGGTTGGCATCAGCCCACCTCAGAAGCATGTCAAGGTCCCTCTGGATGGCCTTCCTTCCCTCCAGGGTATCAACTGAACCACACAGCTTGGTGTCATCGGCAAACTTGCTGACGGTGCCCTCAATCTCACTGTCCATGTCAGCGATGAAGATGTTGAACAAGACTGGTCCCAACACCGATCCCTGAGGGGCACCACTCATTACTGGTCTCCAGCCGGACATTGAGCCATTGACCACAACTCTTTGCGTGCGGCCATCCAGCCAGTTCTTTATCCACCGAGTGGTCCATCCATCAAATTGATGTCTCTCCAATTTAGAGACAAGAATGTCATGTGGGACGGTGTCGAACGCTTTACACAAGTCCAGGTAGATGACATCAGCTGCTCTACCCCTGTCCATCAGTTCCTTAGCCCCATCATAGAAGGCCACCAAATTGGTCAGGCAGGATTTCCCCTTAGTGAAGCCATGCTGGCTGTCACCAAGCACCTTGTTGTTTTTCATGTGCCTTAGCATGCCTTCCAGGAGAATCTGCTCCCAGATTTTGCCAGGCACAGAAGTGAGACTGACTGGTCTGTAGTCCCCCAGGTCATCCATTTTCCCCTTCTTGAAAATGGGTGTTATATTTCCCTTTTTCCAGTCATCAGGAACTTCACCTGACTGCCATGATTTTTCAAATATGATGACCAGCAGCTTAGCAACTTCATTTGCCAGCTCCTTCAGGACCTATGGATAAATTTCATCAGGTCCCATGGACCTGATTTTTAAGATGGTCCTGAACCAGTTCCTCTCCTACAGTGGGCGCAAGGTCTTCATTCTCACAGTCCCTGCATCTGCCTTCCAAGACTTGGGTGGTGCGATCAGAGCCTTTGTCTGTGAAGACCGAGGCAAAGAAGTCAGTAAGAACCTCGGCCTTCTCCAAATCCTGTGTAGCCAGTTCTCCCGCTAGCTTCCGGAGAGTGCCCATGTTGTCCCTAGTCTGTTTTTTATTTGCTTGATATAAGAAAAGCTAGTGCCTGAAAAACATAAAGTACTTTTTAGCTTAACTTAGGTTGTAGAAGGAGAACACTGTTTATGTTGTATGTCTGTGGAATGTAGTGGCCCCACTAAACATGAGTTCATTGTTTCACGCTAGTCTTCTGAAGTATCTTTAGCTTTAAAGAACAATGTTTGTGTTGTAAGTCTGTGGTGAGATAACAGAATTTAGTGGCTCCACTAAACATGACTGGGTTATTTCACACCGTCCTTCTACTTATCAGTTAGAGACAATGCCTCCTAAACATCTGCTAGCTTGGGATACTCCTTGTCTGCCCATCCTGCAATAAATTTTTCAGGGAGGTCACACTGTTCTAAATCTTTGCTAGTTATCAGAAGAATTACAGATATGGCTGGTTTCAGCTAGTTGTGTGATTACTGGGGCGTCCAACTGTGCCAAAGGTGAAAAGTACACTGTGAGGAAGACTGCTTACTTCATCCTCAAGACCCCTACTCACAAGAGGAAGACTGCTTACTTTATGCTCAAGACCCCTGCCCACCATCACCAGAGAACAGTGTGCAGATGCCAAGAGGAGGAGATTTATGATAATAAGTTCCTGGAGGTAGTTATATTCCCGGCCTATACGTGGGAATTATGAATATGTATGTTACAAATGCAATAGTGAAAGTATATAAACCTGTAACAAATACTAATCACTTGCGCCTCTGGGTACAGTCATGCGCCCAGCACTGTTGCTTTTGCTTTATTGACTTTATCCCTCAATAAAACCTTGTTATCTTGTTTAGAGGAGTGAGTTTGTATTTCACATAAGGCTATGCAGGACTGTATTGGGCCATGCTGGGATATATTGGGCTGTACTTGACTATATAGGTCTGCACTGCACAATACTGGGCTGTACTGACCCAGACTGGGCCATACTGGGCTGTGCTGTGTTATACATGGCCATATAGGACTGCACTGCACCGCACCATACTGGATTGTACAGGGCTGAACTGGGCCGTACAGGGAGGAGGGGCACAACCCTTGGGGACTCTCCCCCCCATCATCTGGGTGAGGGTCAGAGTGTGGGTCCCACTGCTCCTGTCCCCCTAGCCCATGGCTGCAGCAGGAGTGGGCTCTGCACTATCAGTACTTGACTTTATTTGTAAACTCTCTTTGGTCGACCAGAAAAACCTCAAGAAAAGACCCAAGCAACTCCCCAAAATTATATAGATCATGAAACCAACCAGGAGAATGGGGTGAAATTAAGAGTTCACCCCCAAAACTTGGACCCAAGAGCTGCTGGGGGAGTGCTGCAGTGGTGGGTGCTCCTCTGTTGTGCTTGGTTTTTGGGGAGGAAGAGGTGGGTGGGGTGGGGTGGGATGGTCCTACATGAGAGGCTCACTACAGAGCACAATCTCCATTTCCTTGTGGTAGAGCTTTCCCTCATTGGACAGGTTCATGATGCTCTTCCTGTAGTTGGTGAGCTGCTGGATGCTCATCTCCTGAAAGGAAGGAGGAGAGGGGGGAGGTGGTGGGAGCTAGGGACTCCATTTCTCCCAGCGGAGCACCTCTAGGTTGGGGACATGCCCCTCTCCGTGGGTTGGCACCTGGACCAGCATCTTTCCTGGTCCCTGGGGAGCGTGGACACAGCAGGTGGGAGATGGTGCTGGGAGAGGGGAGAATGCACAGGGGGGTCTGGGGGGCACCTGGGCTCTGTCCCCCACTTACTTTCTTATTCTTCTTATACAGGTCTTTCAACAGTATGTCCAGCTCATTCTCATCAATGAAGCCGCTTCCATCCTGGATAACAAGGGAGAAACATCAGAATGGAGAAGGACATGAGCCTCACCACCCTGGGCATGGGTGCAAGGGGCACCCCCAGACCCCTTACCCAGCACTCACACCCCACATTGGAGCAAGAAATTGACCCAACTAAAACCACATGGGTTTGGGTTTTTTTTTTTTCCAAGTTGTATTTGTTTGGGGCAGTTTCTCAGGATCTGGCTCCCTACCTTGTCATAGAAGGTGAAGATGGCATTGAACTCCTCCGAGGACAGCTTCATCCCCTGAGAAGCAGCATGGGACACTGAGGTGTGAGGGAGGGGACGAGGTGTGAGCAGGGAATAGGATTTGTTTAATCTATTATTATTATTATTTTTAATTTTATTTTGCCTGAAACTTCAGAAGGCAGTTTTCTTGCAGAGGCAAAAGTCTGAAAGACAAAAGGGGCAGGATGAACGGGAAGCAACAGGGAAAAGACACTTTTTAAACCAAAATGGTTCTTGGATACGATGAGGGGTGATGGTTTTAAACTAAAAGAGGGAGATTCGGGCTGGATGTGAGGAAGAAATTTTGTACAGTGAGGGTGGTAAAATACAGGCACAAGTTGCCCAGAGAGGTGGTGGTTGCCCCATCCCTGTAGACATTCCAGGCCAGGCTGGATGTGGTTCTGTGCAACCTGATCTAATTGAAGATGTCCCTGCTCCCTGCAGGGGGTTGGACTAGATGAGCTTTGAAGTTCCCTTCCAACCCAACCCATTCTAGGACTCTTGGCTCTGAAACACGAGCAAATTAAAGAAGAAAACTTCTCCGAAGTTGGAGCAGATGTGAGTGTTTCAGGGTGTCTTTCTCTCCCCACTGCTTCCTTCTTGCCACCCATGACCTTACCGGAACATCTCCGAGAGGCCTAGCTTCCTGTTGCTGTTCATGTCGAACATCTGCAGCTGCCAGGACACAAGCAGCACCCAGTCACCCATCACCTCCTTCTCTCCCTCCCACCCACAGGGGGGTGCTGCGACCCTAGGGAGAGACTGGGGCTTTGCTTCTGCAGATGCAGGAGAGTCCCAAGATCCTTTCAATTCACTTGGGAAATAAAAATCAGAAAGAATTCTGAGCTGGGAAGAAGGACAACACCAAGAAAACCCATGGCTGGCAACAGAGTTCCCACAAGCAGGAGCTTGGACAGGTCTGATCGTTGTCTGTGGAGCAGCAGGGGGCATAGAAAATCCTCTCTGGAGAGCTATGGCTGGTCCATGCAGCAGCACCATGGAGCCTCCCTGCTATCAAAGGCACTCAAGGGGATGCAAGACATAACACTTGGGCCAAAGAGCATGGCATTGAGTGGGTATATCACATCCCCTACCACGCACCAGCCTCTGGGAAAACATAACGGTACAATGGGCTGTTAAAAACTACACTGAGAGCAATGGGTGGGGGAACTGTCCTCAGGTCACCATCGACTGGCCCTGACGTCCCTCCAATCATGACCCCAACAAAGAACGACAAAACAAGATGAGCTCAGCAGTGTCCAGAAAAGTTTGGTGTTGTCGTCAGCAGGCAAAAGTCCAACACTACACACCATCTCTCCTGCCCTGAAAGGCTGTTACAAGAGATGGAGCCTGAAATAATGGACTGGATGAATTCAGCAAACTTTATAGGAATGGACCATGGACTGAGAAATTATATCTGTGTGTGTGTGTGTGCGCGCACATGTGTGTATGAGGCAGAAAGTGATGGTATATTGAAAAATATGGGATCTGAGCATGATGGGAACAGTATGGAATAAGGGATGGATACTGTCCTGTTTCCAGCTGTAGCAGTCATTTTCCTCCTTCTTAGTAGCTGGTGCAGTGCTGTGTTTTTGACTTTCAGCCTGAGAACAACACTGATAACACTGGTGTGATTAGTTGTTGCTAAGTAATGTTTACTCCGATCAAGGACTTTTCAGTCTCATGCTCTGCCAGGGAGGAGGGGCACAGGAAGCTGGGAGGAAGCAGAGACAGGACACCTGACCCAAACTAGGGGTATTCCATACCACAGCACATCATGCCCAGTATAGAAACTGGGGGGAGTTATCTGGAAGGCCCAGATCGCTGCTTGGGTCTGGCTGGGTATCGGTTGGCGGGTGGTGACCAATTGTATTGTGCATCGGAGTGTCCTGGGTTCAGGAGTAACAGTCATTTTTCTCCTTCTTAGTAGCTGGTGCAGTGCTGTGTTTTTGACTTTCAGCCTGGGAACAGTGCTGATTGATAGCACTGATGCTTTTAGTTGTTGCTAAGTAATGTTTACTCTGACCAAGGACTTTCTGAGTCTCATGCTCTGCCAGGGAGGAGGGGAAGCCGGGAGGAAGCAGAGACAGGACCCCTGACCAAACTAACCAAAGAGGTATTCCATACCACAGCACGTCATGCCCAGGATGTAACTGAGAGTTACCCGGAACGGCTAGTGCACTGCAGGGTTGGACGAGGTTTTGGTCTGTGCTTGGTTGGGTGGGGTGATTTATCGGTCAGTGGGTGGTGAGGTGTTGTACTCTCTTCCTTTGTTATTTCCTTTATCATTATTATTATTGGTGGTAGCAGTAGCGGTTTTGTGTTATACCTTACTTACTGGATTGTTCTTATCTCAACCCGTGGGAGTTAAATTCTTTTGATTCTCCTCCCCATCCCTCCTGGAGTGGGGGGGAGGAAGGAGGGGAAATGAGCGAGTGGCTGCAAGGTTCTGAGTTACCGGCTGAGCTTAAACCATGATCGATACCCGGCCTGACCCAAGCAGTGACCTGGGCCTTCCAGGTAACTCCCTGGAATTTCTATACTGGGCATGATGTGCTGTGGTATGGAATACTTCTTTGGTGTCTTTGGGTCTGGTGTCCTGTCTCTGCTTCCTCCTGTCTTCCCCTCCTCCCTGGCAGAATATGAGACTGAGAAAGTCCTTGATAGGTGTGTGCATTACTCAGCAACAACTAAAAACATCGGTGCGTTATCAGCATTGTTTTCAGACTAAAGCCGAAAACACTGCACTGCACCAGCTACTAAGAAGGAGAAAATTAACTGTAACAGCTAAATCCAGGACAATATCCACACCTTATTCCATACCATTCATGTTATGCTCATATCCGGCATTTCTCAATATACCATCGCTTTCTGTCTCACACATATCAATTTTTAGTCCATGGATCAAACCCGATCATGCCCATTGACTTTATTCAGTTCCCTTATTATTATTATTATTATTGGTGGTAGCAGTAGTGGTTTTGTGTTATACCTTACTTACTGGACTGTTCTTATCTCAACCCGTGGGAGTTAAATTCTTTTGATTCTCCTCCCCATCCCTCCGGGAGTGAGGGGGAGGAAGGAGGGGAAATGAGCAAGTGGCTGCATGGTTCTGAGTTACCGGCTGGGCTTAAACCATGACAGTGACAAAAGGCTGGAGTTCACAGAGGGTTTGTGCTTTCCCCCACCTTGCCAGTGAGGTGTGTGACCAATTTCTGCAGGGCTTCAGCCCAGACTGCCGAGATGTGCATCACTTTCTTGTGGTTGGCTTTTTCTTGATTGTTTTAGCTCATCACCGCTCTGTTGGTGATGAGGGAGATCCCAAAAACTTGGAGGCCACAGTGCCTGGCTATAATTACTCCTGTAACAGTGCTCATGCTGACGGTAGGAGCAAAAAGACCAGGATGATTTTGGATTTCCACCAAACCAAGATCTCTCTCCAAGGCTGCACACCACAATCCTACCTACAGCAGATGCCCTTGTCTCATATTCCCCCAGTTCTCTATTTCTGAGCTATGTAACAGTTAAAGGCTATGATACTTTCAAGGCTGTAATAGCTGTGGCATTACAGTTACAACCCTGCTCAGCACTATAAACCTCCCAGATTTGATTCCTGTGTACTATGTCTCTCTCCCCAAGATGTGTCAGACTGCTTTCAGCCTTGCTAAGAGAAGCACTGATGTGCTGTGTCATTTGGCTCTTCTCTTCCTCAGCTAAAAAAAGGTATTGAAGAAAAAAAAACAAAAAAGCCTTTGTGGGAAGCTGAGCTCCTTTCCTCAATGAGCCTAAGTCTGCAGATACTAATGAGCAGGCTTCCATGAGCCAGGGATCAAGCTGGAGAAATCATATGGATATTCTGAGACCCCACTTGGAGCACTTCATTCAGCTCTGGGGCCCCCAACACAAGAGGAATGTGGAGCTGTTGCAGCGAGTCCAGAGGAGGCCACAGAGATGTTGTGAGAACTGGAGCAGCTCTGCTCTGGAGACAGGCTGAGAGAGCTGGGCTTGCTCAGCTGGGAGAAGAGAAGGCTCCAGGGACACCTTAGAGCAACTTCCAGTGCCTAAAAGGGCTACATGAAAGCTGGAGAGGTACTTTTGACAAGGGCCTGTAGAGACAGGACAAAGGGGCTTTAAATTGCCAGAGGGGAGATTGAGATTAGATATTAGGGAGAAGCTCTTCCCTGTGAGGGTTGTGAGGCACTGGCACAGGGTGCCCAGAGAAGCTGCGGCTGCCCCCTCCCTGGTAGTGTTCAAGGCCAGGTTGGACAGGGCTTGGAGCAACCTGCTGAAGTGGAAGGCATCCCTGCCCATGGCAGGGGCTTGGAATTATATGAACTTTAAAATCCCTTCTAAACTGTGGCATCTGTAGTAAAAAAGGCTAAACACACACACACACACACACACACACACACACACCAAGCTTCCACAACTAGCCCCAGTTCCATCACAGTTCTGTGCCTGTTTATTCGCTACAGCAATGTAATAGCATACAGATACAGATCTGAGCTATAAAGCCAGAGACCAAGTCCATCACAGTGACTCTTTTCGGTCACTGTAAATTCCACTCTATAAACAATCACTCCCCAAGCAGATTCCCAGCCCGACCTTGCACCCATCCTCACAAACACTCCCTGGCTTGCTCGACTCAGGTGCACTATGAGCAAGTCTACTTTAATTATCCACAAAGCGGGAACGGGACAGCTTGCAGTTCCCACATCTCCCCATTTTTTGTTTTGCATGATCAAGGCAGCGAGCACTTTGGTTTCAGTTCTTCCCAAGTTCATAACAAGTCTCCAGATGACTTTTTTCCAGATGGAAAAGCAAAGGAAAGCGGTGATGTCCAGGCTCCAAAGACAATATCTCACCAATGCATTGGCCGGATGGAGGGAGTCTTGGGAACCTGGAGATAGATGCTGTTACTTCCAGAAACATAGTCCTTGGCTTTCCTTATCCCCTTCTCTGCTTGAGGAGTCTTAAGTCACACAAGAGCAGTTTCTTGACATTAGCATTTGAAGATGGAAGGTTCAAATGCA